TTTTCTGGTCTCCCTACGTTTACACCCTTCATAATGTCACTTTGTAGTCGTTCCCCACCTCTTGAATCTGAACTGGACTGATAACATGCTTTGGCCAACAGAAAGCACTGAAAATGCCAGTTTGCCAGTTTTGAGCCTAGGCCTCAAGAACTTCTGCATGCTTCCATACCTTTCTCTTGGAAATATGCTCTGCCACTGTGGAACAAGCTCAAACCAGCCTGCTGTATAGAGAGGCATGTGGCCCAGTCACCCAGTTATCTGGCTGACACCCAGCCAACCCCCAGACATGAGAGTAAGACCACCCTAGATAAGCTAGTCTGAGACTATCTACTAACTAAGCCATGAGAAATATGAGCAAGCCCATACACAATCACTTAAGCCTGGTCCAGATGGCTTTAGTACCAGGCTGATCTAAAGACTCAAGAGCAGGAGCAAACAAATGAAGTTTGGAGTGGTTTGTTATATATATCAACAGCCAACATACTAATGATAGTCGTGATAACAGAAAAGGGCCATTAATCTGGTATGAAAACTAGTCATCAAATACTAATTTGTTCAGTGTGGTTTACATTTTATATACAGATATACAACCATAACGAAAGAGAAAAAGAAAACCTAACTATTAAAATACCCTGTGATTGGTAAGCCACCACCACCCTTTTTACTAAAAGTACTTAAAACCATTACAAACATAAATGCAATATTTTATAACAAGGCCTTTGGAAAACAACTATCACATGACAGCAACTGACTGTACATAGAGGGGAAGTATTTTTATGACAACTGAAATTGGAATTATTAGGTTTTTTTCCTTTTAGGTAAGAAAATTCTCCAGGGACTTCTAAATTTTCTAGGTGTTACTATGGAGACTTAATTTTCAGATGCACTTGACTATAAGAGCAACTTTTTAATATAAAGCAATCAAACATTACTTCAAAAAGTCAAAAATTCTAACCATACTAATTCAATATCTACCACAAAAAGTACACTAGTTTTCTCAATTGGCAGGCATCTAACGTATTTCAATAGACAACAGAGATCTCTCTTCAATGAAAAACTAGCACTGCTTTAATGGTCAAGTCACTGACCTATTGCTGCCAATATCAACAAGTTCTATCTATTGCTGAGAGGGTAATTTTGTATGCAAGACAAGAACCAAGGTACTCATGACTGCAGACATAAATAGGAGTCACTTTTTTTAAAAAGGCAATGAAACCTTTACTAATTTTTAAAATCATTTCTGAGTTTCACATGATCTTTTTACTAAACCAGTTATCAAAAAGTAAAATCTGTTTTTAAAGCATTTAAAACAAGTGAACATTCCTGTGTGGGTTTAACAGCATTAAATTTTAAACACATTTAACATATCCAGAGAAATTCTCAGAAGGAAACAATTTAGTTGATTATATTTAAACATTCTAAATGCTCTTCTCCTTTGTAAATGAGGTCTGTGGGTGTTAGAGAAGTTCAATGTCCAGGACTATCTTACAAATGTACTGGTACATTCACAAAAGCTACCAAAAAAGGATTTTCCATCCATTAATGTTTTACTATATAAAACATTATAGAGATATTCAATAAAACTCTAAAATATTTCAAAGAAAAGCATAATTTAGTTGATAGAAAGAAGTAAAGAATGACTAAATTTATGGTTAACAAATATTCTAGAAAAACTGCATTCTCTCTCTCTTTTAAGAGCACTAGTCTCATATATAAAAAGGTGAATATAGGCTTTCTCAGACCATGGCACAAAACCTAACTTCCTGCCCTCCAAGTACTGCCCTCGGTTAAATTACAGGTTACCCACTCGTTTTGATACTAAGCCTGCAATATACATGAACCTCACCATGTTACATTAATTTCCTGCCCTAAAATAGCTAGTCTACAACTCCTACCCTCCTTTTCGTTTTCTTTCTCTCTCCAAGTAAAATTTCATATGCCATAATTCTAGTTCATCTTTTACCACTCTCTCCTTTTTAAATGTTTTAGCATTCAATTCAAATATAAAGGGATTACAGAACCACCTCAAGAAATAGTGTTTTCGCCGAAACCGGTTTGGCTCGGTGGATAGAGCGTCGGCCTGCGGACTGAAAGGTCCGGGTTCGATTCCGGTCGGGGGCATGTGCCTGGGTTGCGGGCACATCCCCAGTGGGTGATGTGCAGGAGGCAGCTGATCGATGTTTCTCTCTCATCGATGTTTCTAATTCTCTATCTCTCTCCCTTCCTCTCTGTAAAAAATCAATAAAATATATTTAAAAAAAAAAAAAAAGAAAAAGAAATAATGTTTTCTAAAACCGCTAAGAAAAACCCTTCCTAAACAGCTATAACAACCAACTAATCTACCTCAGGAAATAAATCTCCTTATTTATACAGGGTGGGACAAAGGTAAGTTTACAGTTGTTTGTATGGAAAATAATACAATAAATAATAATACAAGAATAAACTCTGTGTACTCACAACTGTAAATCTACTTTTGTCCCACCCTGTATATGCTGCAAATTCTCACTGTCCTCCCAGACACATAAAATCTACAGTATGACTATTTTAATCTATTTCCTTTTCAAAAACAGTAACACTCCTCTAATCAGGAAGACTTCTAGAAACATTAAGCTTAGAAAATCAAAACCCTGGAGATAGAAAATAATTATTCACAACTAACATGTATTGAATCTACCTACTCTGTGCCATGCTGTGTTTTTCATGCATTAACCTCCACAATGGCCCTGTGAAGTAAGTACTATTATCATCAGAAGAAAATCAAGTTCTGAAAGTAAATCATTTTACTCAGGTTCAATTAGTAATTGTTGAAACTGGGATTCTAAAGCAATCTAACTATACACAGCTCTGCATTCTTTAAGTGAAAAAGCAATCGAAAATATATTACAGACCAAGCTTTATAGAAGCAACCCCCCAGATCTTCCTTACAATCTACAGTATTGATTAATATTAGTAATCTCATTCAGAGCATAAGTCTAACAATTTGGTGATATAGATCTCCCTGTTCACAGTTACTAAGGTGCAGCACATCTGACAGTTTCTTTTTTTTTTTTTTTAGTATGTTTGTTTTTTCTGAGAGAGAGAGAGAGAGAGAGAGAAAGAGAGAGAAACATCAATGATGAGAGAGAATCACTGATCAGCTGCCTCCTGCACGCCCACTACTGGGGTTCAAGCCTGCAACCAGGGCATGTGCCCTCAACAAGAATTGAACCATGACCTCCTGGTTCATGGGTCAACGCTCAAACAATGAGTCACAAAGACCAGGGCAGGTGCAGCACATTTGTAGGAACAGGTAGTATTACTACTAGGACCAAACCACATTAATGAGTTGGGGAGATTGGAGGGGAGATACATGCACACACAAGGAAAGATGACATTTATTATTAAAAAGCTACTACATTATCATATTAAATAGTCCCAAGCTGTTATATTTTCGAACTCAACTGTTTCTATATCCTTCAGAACAGTAAAGTACCTGGTATTCATGACAACTGAAGTACAGCAGTTCCTCCACTAATATCATCATTTCATTATAATATTAATGAGATGCTATAGGAACTTAACTGCTGTTTATATCAATTGTCCTATGGTTAAACTGCTTTTCTTATACAGAATTTTGCTTAAAATTATAGAACCTATCAACATTAAGTGAGAACTCACTGTATCATAAAATGGTATCAAAAATCATATTCAGCATTATCTAAAATATAGATTTTAGAACAATTCCTACAAAAGTTTGAAATCATTTTTCTAGAAAGCTTAGGATGATAGTATTTCCCCATCTCTCAGTTCAAACTCTTATTCTCTCTTCTTCCTTAGAAGACAAACATTCTCAAATCCCTGTTTTCTGTCCACTTCTAACTTGCACACCCCAACTTAATAGCCAAGCTTCTCAAAGAGTAGCCTACACTCATTATCTTCCACTTCCTTACCTCTATCCTCTTTGCTATAGCTTCTGTATCCAGCTTTCCAGTTGAGTTATTTTTGCTAAAGTCATCAATGTCTCCTTATTCCTAAATCTAATAAACAGTTTTCAGGTCTTATTTGCCCTTTTAAGCTGGGATTTAACATTTCAGGTCCCTTTTCCCCCTACCCTCTTCATCTTTTAAATTCTGGTCAGTTGTCTTCCACATTGCCACTCTCCTGTTCCCCTCTACCTTACTACTTTCTGCTGGACTCATTTTCCTCTGCCTGTCCCTCAAATGTTGGATGGTCCCTGGCCACCTTCTCTTCTGTTAAGAATCCTCAAAAGATTATCTTAACCTCCATTCAACCATGCTATATACTACACCTCTAACTCTCTTGCCCGAACAACTCCCCTGGCAACTTTCCAAAGCCTCCCACACATCTTCAGGCTGCTCAAACTCAACATGGCCACAACTGAACTGATCTTGGAAAGCCAAAGAATAGCGCGTTGGAAAGTGTACATGTACAGGGAGTTTTATTTTGTTAGCAGTGGGGGATGTTCCCTATTATCCACTGGGTGAATGATTTTATTATCCTAAAATCATTATCCATCCAGTCTTTCAAGACAAATAGCTGGGGGACATGCCTGACTCCTTCCTTTTCTTTTTTCTTTTCTTTCCTTTTTTTTTTTTTTAATATATTCCATTGACTCTCTACAGAGAGGAAGGGAGAGCGATAGAGAGCCAGAAACATCGATGAGTGAGAAACATCGACCAGCCGCCTCCTGCACACCCCCCACCCACAGCCAAGGCACATGCCCTTGACTGGAATCAAACCTGGGACCCCTCAGTCCGCAGGCCGACACTCTATCCACTGAGCCAAACCGGCCAGGGCTCCTTCCTTTTCTTGACCCAAAGAGCCAAATAGATCATCAAATACTAAAGTAAGGTTGTAAAACATTAATATTTTCAAATCCCCTCCCTTCTCTTTACTCCCTCATCATTTCTCAACATTAGCTTGTTTAGGCTTTCCCATAATATTTATAATTGCTTATGGCTATCATACTTATCATATAACATGTATATTTCTTCATTAACCTGCAAACTTAGTGACAGGAAACCGTGTCTTGTTCTTTTTATCCAATGCACCTGGGAACATATAAAGAGTAATAAACATAAATCTGGTGAATGAGTGATTCCAAGAAGCTAAGTAACACCTCAAAAGATGTACAATTTATTAACAGTAGAGTAGGAATTTATGTGTAGTTCATCTTGCCAGCATTTTTCAATAATTAAGTACCATCATGGTACAGCAATAGCATATCAGCAGTACTCTGCATATTCAAAGTGACAAAATATTCTTTTCTTATGTTTCTACGTGTATTTTAAGTTTTCTATAATGATCACACATCACTTTCATAATCAGTGAGAAAACAGTATTTTTAGAACAAACATGAATGAAAAATATTTTGTTTTTAGGACAATATGTTGTGAAACTGGAAGCTGGAGTGGGGTGGATGCATTAGGAATCTAAGAGAAAATACCAAAAAAGAGGTACTGCTTTAACTGAACTTGAGTTAAGCTCACCCAGTGACTGTAAATAGGTTTACAGTTTCATCTTAGCCAGTCAATGACTTACATGAAAATGGATCTTTCAACCAAAGATGTTGGTTAATAATGGGGGGCAGGGAATACATGAAAATTTATCTCAAATTCATTTTCCAGATTTGAACTCAGTCATAAAAATACAAGAGGAGAATTTAAGTGAATATCTTTATCAACCATTTCAAAGTGTTATCTGAATCTCTGGGCCCTTTTAGGGGACCCATGAGGCCAAAACTATTTTCATAACAATAATAAGATGACATTTGCTTTTTCATACAATAGAGTTTTCCAGAAGCAACATGTCCTCTGATAAATATTGCAAGAGTTTAAATGCAGAGGCAGATATGAGAATCCAGCTATCTCCTATTAAGTCAGAGATCTGCAAAATTGTAAAAATTCTCAATAATCTTTTATTAGGGAAAATAAGATTTTTTTCATTAAAAAATGCTTATGGTAACTGTAAAGGACTTATTATTTCTTAATAAATTAATATTTATACATTTTTCAGTTTTAATTTCCAATGTGGCAAATGGCTACAGATGTAACCCCACATGAAAAAGAGCTCCTCGGGATCCTCAAAAGGGATCTTGAGACCAAAAGTTCAAGGACTGCCAATTTATAGAGCTTGAGGAAGGGGCAAGCTTCTCTAAGCATGACCCCAAAGCAAGATCAACCAACAGTTATGTTGACATAAATATTTTAAACTTCTATACATCCAAAAATAAACATAAGCAAAATTACACGAAAAGTTGACAAATTGGGGGGAATACAACATACAACAATGGGTTCATAGTATTTACATATGAAGAGCTCTTTCTGCATCACTAAGGAAAAGTCAAACACCCACCAAAGCACCAAAATAGGAAGAAAGACATGAAAACTAATGGGAAAACAAGACCAATATACATGCAGAAAAATAAACTTCGAACTTATTAGCAATCAAAGCAATGTAAATTAAATCTGATTAAATCAGCAATGGTATTTAAAAACTGTGCCAAATTCAGTAAGAATGCAGGGAAAAAAGGATCCATATAAATTACTGTTAGATAAATAGTTATAACCTCTCTAGAAGGCACTACAGAAACATGCAGCAGAAATCTTAAAAGTGTACCTACTCCTCAACCTCCAATTCTAAACGGATGGGATAAAAACATACCTAAAAGTCTGCTACAATATTCATTGACACATTATCTATAATTGCAAAACAGAAAACTAGAAACAAATGTCTACCAAGGAGATGGCTGAATATATTAGAGCATTTCATTGTGTGGATTGCTTATCTGATGATTTTAAATGTTGTATATGGAAAGATACCTTTGATTTATTAGGTTAAAAAAAAGGCAGTTAAAATTTTGATGATTCATCTCAATAAAATACGTCTATGTGCAAAGAACTAGGATGTGCTAGGAATTTTAGTTATATGCCAAGCATTTTATATGCCTTATCACATTTAACCTTCAGAACTCTATGATATAGGCTGCTCTCTCTAAACTTTCATTCTCTCATCTGTAAAACTGAAATAAGTAATTTGCCCCCAAACCATGAAAACTTCAACTCACAAACCATTAGATATTGAGGCCAGATTTGACTCTAGGTCTCACACTCAAACTATATTTTGTTAAATACCACCTATACACTGAAAGGTTAACAGTAAGTCAATACAACTATCTCCGCCCCCCCCACACCTTTCTTTTTTCTCTTTTTCTCTTATCTTTAATCTTACATTTCTTTTTATAATGAATGCACTTTATATTTTTAATTTTTACAAAGAGTATTTTTATTTTGAAATACTCTAGCTCAAAAGCCAAAGATTGAACTTGTGGGGAAGCAGGAGGACTTTGCAGCACAACTTCCAAACTCAGTACATCTTGTTACTTAACATTCTCTACAGACAAATTGAAAATAAATAAACAATATCAGCTTCCTTTGGGAAATTTCACAAAAAGTTTATGGACTTGAGCATCAACAGACCTCGTTTAAAATCCACAATAAGCTATGAACCTTAAGCAAATTATTTAACCTCTCTGAAACTCAACTTCCTTATTTGTAAAATACTGATACTGTAACAATTCTTATTTCTCAGGACGATGATAAGCACTATGTTAAAAGGATAGAACATGTAAACAGTATAAAATATAATAAATGCTAATTCCTTAAAAAAATACATACAAACTGTAACTCAATAGCAAATTGATATTAAAATCATGCTGTGATTATACATTTTTCAATAGTTAATGGATCATTCTCACTTTCAATTTAAATTCAATCAAAGCCAAAAATACCTCCCCAAAAATAAATTATCCTGCCTTTTGAGAGATCCCAAGCCTAGAAGTACTGTGATACAAACATTTTTATTGTCTCTTCATTACTGAATCTATCCTACTTGACTTTGTATCCTCGGGAGTCTAGCAGAGTGCAGAGCAGGAAGTTGGCCTAAGTGTTGGATGAATAAATGTGGAGACCTTGGAACATCTAACACTCTGTCTAATAAGTCCCATTATCACTCAAATCTAAAAGCCTTCACACAAAGCTGTGGTGCTCATTAACATTCAACAACAGTTTTGATTTCAACAAAGCAATCATGCAACAAATTTCATCCAACTCCCTTCCTCACAATATCTTATTTCCAAACACACGTACCTAAAAACACAAAGTCCCTGGGATGAATCTTAAAGTCAGAGAACAAGAGAGTTCTTAAACCTTAGCTCCCTCACAAGGGTCAATAAGGTCAGAATGTCACAGCAAGCTAAAAGGTTTTTCCTGTACTTATTAGTCTTTCTTGGTATTCATTCAGCAGTAGTCAATAAAGGATGTCATAAAATTAAGTTAATAATGAAATAATCCCTGTTTGGGGATTATTCAGAAAAAATTTCAGAAATTCCAGCTTGTCTATAAATTTAATTGCTTTACTAGACCTACAATGAACAGCCATACTACAAACAACTAAGGAACCCTAACTTTCTGTAAATACTTCAATTTCACCTCCACCATGAATAAAGCATTTAACCATTCTACAAATACTGAGTGCTCACTACTGATTATTCAAATAATCCCACAAAGTGCCAGGCATTGTTCTGAGCTCTGGGAACACACAATGAACTAAGGAAACAAAAATCTCTGCACTCACTGGAGTTTATATCTTAAAATGGGGAGGCAGGAAGAACAGAAACAAACAAAATAAGTTAATTACATATAACAAGGTGCTAAATGCTTAAAAATGCAGAAAAGGGGAATGGAAAATACAGGGTCAGGGAGAGTAGCTGCAATTTTTAAAATAAGGGGTCAAGCCCTAGCCAGTTTGGCTCAGTGGATAGAGCATTGGCCTGCGGACTGAAGGGTCCCAGGTTCAATTCTGGCCAAGGGCACATGCCTGGGTTTTGGGCTTGATACCCAGTAGGGGGCATGCAGGAGGCAGCTGATCAATGATTCTCTCTCATCATTAATGTTTCTATCTCTCTATCCCTCTCTCTTCCTCTCTGAAATCAATAAAAATATATTTAAAAAAAATAAATAAAATAAGGAGTCAAACTGCAAAATAAACCATACACAGCAAAAGAACTATAAAATAAGTAAGTCTTTATAGAATTACATTTTAAAATCTTGATGATAATGGGAGAGGCTCTCTATGTGTGGAAGCAGGGGGTATATGGGAAATCTCTCTATCTCCCCCTCAATTTTGTTGTAAACCTAATACTGTTCTAAAAAATAAAAAGTATTTTTTAATTAAAAAATAAAATAAGAGGTCAAAGAAGGCCTCACTGAGAAAACCATTTTAATGCGTTCTTAAAGATGAAACTAACATAAAACTAGCACACATTCTAGTCCTACACAGATCAGACTCATTAGCATAGCAGCAATCTGGTGAACTAATTTTCTCGATTCCTGAAAAGAGTAAGAGCAAGAAAGACTCAGAAGATTTGAGAAAAACCAATTCTCAAGAAGGTGTAACAATACCTCCTCCTTAGTTCCCTCACAAGAGTCAATAAGGCCAGAATCTCACCCTCCCACTCCCCTTCCCCCTCCTCCCCTTCTCCTTTCCCCTCCTCCTCCTCCTTCTTCCTCTCTCTCTTTCCCCCACCCACCTCTTTCTCTTCTTCATTTATGATAAAACTTCATTGCCAGCAACCACAAAATTAACATTTAAAAGATTTTGTTATTTTGCCATTGCCAGGCTTCCAACTTGAGTTACTTAAGCTTAACTTTCTATTCTTTTCCACTTCTAACACCCAAAAACACCAACAAATTAGCAGAAATCAAACACCATGCTTCATTTAAATCCCCATTTTATTGATTTTCGGGAGAGAAGAAGGGAGAAGAGGGGAGGAAGGGAGGTATGGAGGGAGGGAGAGAGAAATATCGATGTGAGAGAGATAACATCAATTGGTTGTGTCTAGCAAGAGCTCCAACCTAATACCAAACCGGAAACCTAGGCATATGACCTCACCAGGAATCGAACCTGCTTCCTTCATGTGGAATGGATGACACTCTAACCAACTGAACCACAGTGGCCAGGGCTAATCCCTATCTTATATGTTCACAACAAG